TAAAGAAGACAATGGAAATTGTGAAATGTATATATGTCGCTGTAGCTCATTTTAAATGTTAAATACTTAAATGCTTAAATGTTGTCTACATGATGAGCATGTTTCTCTTTCCACTGAAACTCTGGGAGAACGTACAAGACGTGCAACATGCGAAGAATGTATTTTAACAAAAAATAAAATTAATATGTACTCTTTCGTAAAAGAAACGAAACAACGATTTATTTTGTTTCCTAGCACACATATTTATTCTTCCACTTTTCTGTGTCCGTCGGTGTTCTGTGATGCATGCACATTAGAAATAATTAAATTATGTTTGTTCGTAGTTTAATTCAATCTATTTTACTAGGTTAAGAATAGAGTGAGAACGTCAGAAGAAAAAGAACGAACGATTTTTATCAATATTTACTCTTAAGTATGAGTTCACAGTGACACGCTGTACACCATTCAGTTTTACAATTCTTTGTCTGCAAAACATCGATACCAATAGAAAATTTCATTTTGACTGAGAAATAAATAATTTAATGACAAATAGGACCTTTAAAGCTGAAATTGAAATTACTGGTTATGCAGGTGCAGTTATTGGTCGTCGCGGTTTAACAGTTCAATGTATACAATCTGAATCTGATGCAAAAATTGAAATTGTAACGCAACCAGATTCTATTTGTCAAATTGCTCAAATTCAAGCCGAGACTGAACATTCATTGAATATTGCAATCAGCAAAATAAATAAGATACTCTATGAACAGCAGCGACAGCCACCAGAGTTAAATTCTTTGCAAAAATACAAAAATCATCCAAATGAACCTTGTGACTGGAAATCGCCTGGATCCAATCGCCCGTCTTTTTCTGCGGCGTCCGGACATCGTCATCCCGTACAGAAGTGCCACTTTGCCCACACCTTTTTTGGCCTTGGTCACCCGTCCGAGGCCGAAAACGGACCCCACTTTTTAGCCGTCTTTTGTTTACCTACAAAATATCACTGAATCCTTTTGCGCAAGTAAAAGATACAACATTTTCAGGTATGAGAATAGTCGAATTTGTCCCACCCGGTACCAAAAATTCATATTGTAAGAGAATAATCAATAATGCAAATAAATAAATACATTCAACTACAGCTTGCTGGTTGTCAACACAAAATAACAATTGTTTACCATCTGATCGGTTATCTAGAGTCATAACAACTAGCAAAAAAGAATAGACAACGTATGTGTTGACTCTTTGTGTGTGTTTTGTATTTTCTAAAATCAATATGATGGAAGTAACTATAGTATTACAACATTAAAGTTTCATCGTCGTCAAATGAAACAGTAAGTTTATTTAGTTGAGAAAGTGCAAAAAGAATGTTACTATTCTTGTGCAATCTTTGTCTCGATATGCTCATTTCTCCGAGTTCGTAGAAGATGGAAGATGTCAGTTTTTAGCGTTGATACTGAAAAGCAGTTGTTAATCTGTGATCTATATATTGGTGAAACAATCTACACAAACTTTGAGTAAGTTGATATCCCGCAGGTGCCTTGTTATGCATCCCTCTGCAAGTTCTGAGACGTTTTTTGTGCTTGCCTTCGTGAAAACGCTTATACCATTAGTTCATTCATTGCCATTATAAATTAAATGTTTAATTTTGGATTGACAGTAAATGTCCTCTATTTCGCCGATAGAGTGACGTTCGTCAGTTGAATATTGTTATTATCATTAAAAAACAGAGACTCTCTGTCGATTCTTGAGCACCATTCTTGTTAACAAATATCATTCATCAGTATTCAGTCTCTGCGAGGAGAATAATCAGTGCAAGTTAAGGATTCCCTGTCAGATATCTAGTTCAGTAGCTATCAGAGGTGGAACCGGTTCGGTTTGAGTTTTTCGTAAATTGGTTTGGTTCAGTTGCAGAAAACGAATCCATCCCATCCTTGCTGGTTATATGTTTTTTCAAAATGAATATTCTTTTATTCTTTGGTAGTGAAAACCTCGAGGTTTAAGTCTTACTTGCACCCGTATAGGATATTTTTTGGCGTGGCTCATGGATAGACCATGGCCTTCAAACTCCTAAGCGTCCGCTTTCAGAAAAGTGTATTCAACGTTTTTGTGTGCTACTTGATTTTGCCAATCACATACCTTACGGCATGCGAGGGCTGTTCATTAGATGCAGTAAAGGCAGATGTGTGTTATATCGGTTTCGGAGATGTAATTGTTTCAAAATTCTTAGAGTATTAACGGTATCGTTCTAAAAATTATCTATCGGAAGAGAATGACAGTTCTGCCGGTGCATTCCATTTTCATCGCCGTTAGATTGGCTGTTCTGAATATTGTATCATCGTATCATTTTGATATCAATCAAATTCCTATGACCGGAGTGAGCGGTTGAGAAGGATCGTATTAAGTCTCGAAGGTATTAAATTTGATTATCCATGTGAAAATATGACGTTCATGAAGTCTTGGTTAACTCTTACTATGATTTATGAGAGAAGTCATTACAGGTAGTGTTTAACCGTTGTAGGGCCATTCAGTTCCAATGCTCTTGAATCTTAACACCGTCCTTCTCATCAACTCATTTCCATTATATGGGAATTACCACATATAATCTCAAGAATTTGTATTTAGAGAAAATAGAAGGTGTGATGGTCAATAGTTCAAATAAGTTAATTAAGTATGCAAATGTTAGGCACATTTACTCTGGTATCTGTCTTAGTTCGTTTTTTTCGCACTGTCTACTTCTTTTTGTACGTGTGAGTAGTTAGCGGTTTGTACATCAGATCTGAGGGATTAGGAGAACAGAAAGAAAATGTATGCATAGAAGCGTATCCTTTCCATTTTTGGATAATGAAACACTATTTTTGTTCAAAAAACTCGCAGAATGGCACCTTTTAAAACATGTATTCTAAAAACCTTACTGGAACGGTTTGACCGTTCGTCGTCATTGATTTCATTTACATTTCGAAAGGACGAGTGGCATTAAGGCATGTTCTCGGCCCAAAAACCTACGATCTAAGACACACATATTCGGAATCAGCGTTAAATTCTGAGTGGAATAGCGTTTAAGAATCGTTCAAAGTCTCAAAAAAAATTTTTCGAAAAATATTGCCCTTGAGGAGCAAAGTTGAAAAATGTTTTTTTTCAAATCCGACCGAAATAATGCCTAGTCCTACACAATAGTTCATGCTGGTCGCGAATACCACAATTAAAACGTCCAAAAATGCTTCGCTGTCAAGTGACAACCAAAACAAAAAACAACCTTGGACCCCATTTTTCTCGGTTTTGCTCTCTCAGTTGATAGGGATAGGGCCCATGATAGACGGAGTAACTCTAATTATACGTAATTCACTGTGCTCTATCTGATTTCGAAAGAGTTAGGTCGATCGTACGTCATCTCAATCCACGAAACGGAGATCACCTCCCCGATTGCCCAGGGTTAATTATTCTTGAGTTTGTTGATGCCCAAAGGTATACTTAGAGGCCGTGAACAAAAAACATTTTTCTACTGAAAATACATTAAGTGATACTCTTTCCAATGGTATATTTCTTTAACCGATTTTTCGTGTAGAAAGTTCCCATCCAATCACATAAGTATGTAGTACCTCTCTTTAGGGTTTGTCGATAAAAAAATCATTATTGCTACAAGTTTTCTATGAGAGAAATGCTTGTTTTCAAGAGAAGCAGATTAAGTCTTTGCCTCCCTTAGTCATACCATGTACAAAACTTAGTACATGGTTGATTTAGAGTCGGATTCTATATCATATGGCCAAAGCAAAAATTCATAATCAACTAATTTTGCAACAAATTTTACAAACCTATTTAGCTTTTCTGTTAACGGACGGAGCCGTGATTTACACCGCATTCGATTAGTCTTTACACGGACAAAACAAGTACACAGATCTTTTCCTTTCCACTGCTAACAAAATTCATTTTTTCTTAATAAGACGCGAAAAATTTGCAATTGTGCCCGTAATTCTCAATTTTCTTAATCAGAACTCAAGTTTTATGCAACAAAAGTATCATATTCGGAATCAGAATCAACAGCTGAGTCGAATGATGTGCATTTTGATCCTATCTGACTACTTTGATTTTTTGTCGAATTTTCGCGTTGAAAAACTATCGAGTCGACTTTTCCCCAAAAAATGGAAATCAGCTAAACATTTCGAAATGCACATCATTCGACTCAGCTGTTGATTCTGATTCCGAATATGATACTTTTGTTGCATAAAACTTCAGTTCTGATAAAGAAAATTGAGAAGGACGAAATTAATATTCAAGAGCATTGAAACTGAATTGCCCTACAACGCTGTTCGCGAAAACACGACCTGTAATGACTTTCCTCATATAGCAACTTGTGTAAGAGTGAGGTCAAGTCGCACCCAAAGATCGCCAACACCAAGATTGATGATGACGAAGATCGGTTGTTTTTACTTGTATTTCTCAAGTAGTTTCAGGTCCTCACTCAGATATTTATATTTGTTTTCACTATGTCTTGCTTTTGTACTATTTTCTTGTGTTCGAGAATAAAGTTCGAACCAGTGGACTAGTCCAGTGGCGCCGGAGTCATTGAGACAAGTGAGGCTTGAGCCTCATCTGGACTTTAGCTGTAGAGGCTCGGCCTCACTTGATTCCCGAATTAATATTGTTATTTTTTATTCGCAGGATTTGTTATGTCAAGCACTTGACCCATTCAGATACATACATATTCTCACATATATCTATCTTATAGTCTGATTCACTTATCTCTGATGTTTCTTTTTTTTCTCTATTCTATTGTTGTACAGATGACACGTACGACATACATATATCTTTTATATCTATTTTTTCTTTCCTTTTCTTCACTTGGATATTTTTCTATAATCAATTCAATCGACTTCTACGGCTTTATCTAACAGTGCCAGTGTCCACAGCGACTGCAGAAAGATCTTTCTCGGTAATGAATCGAATGAATACATGTCTCATCGACGATGACACAAATTCGTTTAAATAGTGTCTTTTTAACACATATATACAAAGAAAAGACAGATTCTATTCTTTGTCTTTGTTCGACGTTTGCATCAAGGAATGAACATAGAAAATTTTTTTGGTAGTTTCTAATCATTTTTGTTTAATCTTAATCGTTTTGATTTCCACCGAAGTTCAATAAAAAGAAGACTTATATTCTGCTTGATGCTTTGATAAAATCGGACGGCAGAAAAAAAATATTATGCGCCTCACCTAAGTTGATGACGCTCCGCCGCCACTGGACTAGTCAGGTGAAGTTCAGTCACAATCTCCGACGTTACATACGTGAGAAGAGCTTTGGCGCGTTTTCTAGAAATCCTCCCAAGACTCCAAAACCACTCCCATCGTTTTCGGCATCTGGACGAAACATGTGTGACTTAGTCGAAAATGACCTGAAGGATTGCTTGGCGTGGAGAAAGAAAAAGATACATTTTGACGGGAAAGAATAAAATCAAAAATCTCGAGCCGTCACGTTGTAGCCCGTCTCAAGGCGCATCTTTAGCGCAAGAACCAAATCTCTATCTCTAAAATCCAGGGACTAGATCGTTTTTTCCCGCCGTGGACTGCCCTGTTCAAGGTGGATTTTTCGTCGAATCGAAAAAAGGCTTTTGGGAACTTTAAAAACATCTGCCCCTATGTAATTTGATGCGCTGAATCTGGCCGGGCAACATTCAAGGCGCTAGAGTGAAACGCAAAAAAACGGTGGTCGAAATACTCACAGGAAGCACTTATTTTGATTTCGGTGTTCGTCTCAGTATTTTGGTGATTTGAGGCGAAGGAAAGGGATTTTTCCTAGATTCTGAGGACATCACCATGTGCAGCTCGATACCCTCTATCGGTCTATGTGGCTATCATTCAAATCTGAGATGGTGCTGTAACTTCGAATTAGCCGAACCTTAAATATCAAACGACTCATATTATCGGTAATAAATTCTACTAATTTATCCAATAAATTTAGTGCATGTAAAATAATGATAATAGCATCGATCAGCTTTAAATGTACACCGAGATATTTTTGTTGTAATTCATCAATACATACATATTGTAAAATACCGGTTGAATTACTCATTACTTGAATTATTAGATCATTACTCCATTTTTTTATCAATGGTATAAATTGTTCAAATATTTCTAAATAATGATTTAACATTGTCTAACATAGTTCAGTTTATATTTCTTCTATACGTTTACCGTCATAACAGTAAATAATATAATGTGGACATGCTACTACTATCGTTTTCCAAATAGAATGTGTGCCACTGCCAGTCGAATAACTCCGAGACCTCAATAGCTGCGGATCTCCGGATTCCACCATCGTGTAGCCATGCCCTTGGGACATAGATATACAAGAAAAGAAATTTTTTTTGATAGGGTTTTGAAAGATTTTCTGGAAGGATCTCTGGAAAACCAGGTGCGCAAAGATAGAAGGTTTCGCAGAATTTCGACTTTTAGGTATTCATTCGATAGCCCAAAGAGTTTTCTACATTTCTATACAACCGCCGCATTTTGTGACTTCGCATTCGAAAATCCGAACCCAAATGCCGAGAGCTCAAAAAGTGACATTTTCAGTGGTTTTGATGACTTTCGCTGTTGTTTCAACCCTTCATCGAAGTCGAATCGTCAAACAGAGTGTATATTTGGGATCAACACGCGAAACTGCGTCGAATGACATGTCTTTGAGCTCCGTGTGATGACTTCCATTTTCGGCACTACACCGTGGTATCACGTTTGGGACTGTGTCACATAAATGGTGAAAATATGAAAGCCATCAAACGGAGCTCAAAGAAATGTAGAAAACTCTTTGGGTATCGAATGAATTCCTTAGCTCTCGACGAAAAACGGCCATGTTGCTGTGTAAAAAATTATTGATTTTGTTTTTTTTTCTTTCTCTAATAAAAGGAAGTCTACAAACATTGTGCAGGTAAAAGCGCCACTTTGAATAATATTCTTGTCCCTATTCGTCTAAGTTACTTCCTTCTCTAACGGAAAGCGCCAAATAAAATTTACATTATGTCCTTAAACAGCACTTGTTTACTCAAAAAAAAGAAATGAAAAATATATGTTTGATTTAAAAGGTGTTATAAAGCAGTGGCGATGTACTGAGTAACAACAACAGTTATAGAGAGAGAAAAATGTGAATATAGAACCGTAAGATGTGTGTGCGTTTGAAAAGTGGTATTTCTGTACCATGTTTTTACCGCCAGGTGCGCGTCATCTAATTCGGAGTTTTATATCTATTTTATATTTTGTTATTTGTACATAGTTCTATAAAGCTTATTAAGCTGATCAAAGATTCTTAGTTCTCAAATTTCATTCCATATTTTAATTTAAAAAAATTGAAACTGCAAGAGTTGAACGTTTTTGCAGGACGGCTAAAAGAAATTCGATATCTTTAATTGCCGATTGTTTTGAAACTTCTTAAAAACCATCTTTTGCATATTTAGTAGTATTATACTGAATCTAAAACTATAAAGATCCTCTCATATTTTCGCATTGGAACTCGCGATTGCAGAAAGATATATACGTTTAGAAAGAAGATCAAAAGTGCTACAAACCTATATAAAAACAAGTTTTAAATTCAAGCTTTTTGAAAGGGTTGGATATTTTGTCCGAAAACGTTCGATCTACTCCTTGTTATATATTAGGAGGTAATGTATCGAGCAATAAACACCCTGCGATTGATTTCAGGGCCATGCACCCGTGTATAATGTTTGAGGTTATTCCACTGAAATAATAATGTCACCGATTTAGTTACCTTCGAAATTCAGCCTTATACTTTCAGGCCAGCTGTGCAACTCGTTGTTTGACGTAGTTTATACAGTACAACAACACGCAATTTGTCTCACGATGTAGGAAAAAAACAGGTGGAGAGTCATAATTTAAATTGAAAAAAATACCTGATTTTGATTGTTTTCTTCCTGTTCATCTTACTTTTTTGGCCTTGATGCGTGTGTAACTTTTTAATTATTGTCGGCCAGGTATGCATATGAATAAGTACGAATGATGTTTACATGATTACACTACCATTGAAGGTTTGCTGCTGAGAAAACTTCAGTTAAGAGCCATTGTCCGAGAAAATAACTTTTGATAATTTTAGGTTTTTGAAAAAGGAGTTTTTGAAACCAGGTTTTCCTAGCAAGTTCACCTTAAAAATGCGAAAATTATTAATCTAATTTTTGGAATCAGCGTTAATCGATTCGCTATGACTTTAAACTTGTTCTCAGAAACCAGCAGCTTTTGAACTAATACAATCAGAAACATTTTTCAAAGACATGTGCATATAGAAAGAGATAGTTGAAATCCCCCCCACAGAGGAACGCAAAAATCCAACAAACAATTTACCTTAACGTCGGTGAACTCTTATGTAGCGATTTCTATATAAAAAAATTTTATTTGTAATTGAAATTTTATTGTAAACACCCTTTCTACTTGTCACGGAAACTATCCTAACAGCTTTTTGAACTTTTAGAAAAATTTTGATTGTTATTTCTAAAACAGCTTCTGTCTCAGACTTTTTTGCCGGCTTTTGCAAAATCTGGTGGGGGTTTTACTGATTTTGTATCTCCGTAGATCTCTTAAGATCTATTTCGGGTCTCAGCATATAGACGGACCTTCTGCCTTTATATGGCTTGGGAAAAAGGCCATTTCCAGCAAGGAAACCAAGATTTTTGAGAAATCCTAGGATTAATCGCACTTCGTCACGAATGCATCTCAGACCGCATGGCTAGCCCATAAAATTACTGAAAACGACAAAATTCGGTTTTTATGCCTTCAGAAATCAGATTTTGCACGGAATGACTACTTTAAAAAGCTGTGAAATACTACAGAAGGCAAAAGTATAGAAACTTTATCTCGAAAGGTCCGGTTTTTTAGCACATGTAGCCCTGACTCTTGTGGACAGATCTTGTTACAAACATATGTTTCGATTTTATACTTCGAGTAGAAGAAGAGAAGCTTTGTTGGAGTTGCAGCGCCCAATTTGGCGGCCGCTTCAACTAGAGCATCTTTCGTAACGTGTATATTATAACAGCTAGCTGAAACGGCCGCTAAGCAGACCAGCAGTGGCAGAATTTCTACATTTCAGACATTCTACAGAATTCTATAGAATTCTACAATTTTCGCTGTGAATTCTACAACAACTAATTCACAGCTGAAACATGATAAGTCCGAGTTATTCTCAAAACAGAAACCTAGGAAATGTATAGAATTCTATAGAATTCTACGTTAGTACTATACATTTCCGCTTGACTCAAACTTGGTCAATATATTATATATCTATGTTTACCTGGAATTCTATAGAATTCTACGTACAGTACTATCGTAGAATTCTATAGAATTCTATACATTTCCGCTTCACTCAAACTTGGTTAATATATTATGTATCTACGCTTACCTAGTATTCTATAGAATTCTACAGAATTCTACGTATAGTACTAACGTAGAATTCTATTGAATTCTATACATTTCCGCTTGACTCAAACTTGGTCAATATTTTGTATATCTATGCTTACCTAGAATTCTATAGAATACTATACATTTCCGCTTGAATAAAACTTGGTTAGTGGTAAATGTATCTGTGCTAGCGTAGAATTCTATAGAATTCTGTAGAATAGCTGAATTGCAAGAACTCTGACATCCCTCAAGCAGACCGATGTAGCTAGTCAGAGTAGATGCTAGACTGCAACTAGCGTTAAAACGGGTGTTGCAGCTAGAGATATCACGTTTCATTTTAAATTTTCTACGCTCGCGATCTGTTATGTGTTACGGCACGATACAACGGGCGCTACAGCGGCCGTTGTAGCTAGCTTATGTTTTATTTTGAAACTACTAATAAAAGTAGCTAGCTGAAACGGGTATGGAAAGTAGCGTAGCTAGTTGCAGCGGCCGCTAACCCGCTTCAATATTTTTACATTTTTTTATAACTAGTTGCAGCGGGCGGTACTAGCTTATTTTTTCATGCTTGGGTAGTATCACAGGTCTTTCTACGTAAAGTATTTTTTTTTCAGATGGATCATAAACAATCCACTATGGAAAACGCATCATTATTACACGCGTCCGAATTGCCCCGCATACTCGTATCTGCGCCCGGTGTTTGTAAGGAAAGAGTAAATCGAATGAGATCGTATCTCAGTTTCTGGAAACATGGTCAACAGTACCAATTCTTTGGATTGGAGAACGATGTGTATGAAACCGCAGACGGCAATTTCGTTGAAATTTGTGATCAGTTAAAGAAAGTTCTTCCTAGTTTTCATGTATTTAAAAATTATGACTAGTGCGTCGATCGTTTGACAGATGCTTCAGATCAAACAATTATCCTAATCGTCTCCGAAAGATACGCTCAGCTTATAATTCCTGTGATCCATGATTTTCCACAGCTAAAAGCTGTCTATATTTACAGTACGAATGTCGAGTTCTCAGCAAAGAGAGACCGACAATGGACAAAAGACTTCGATAAAGTAAGTCTCTGCGCAGTACACATATCCTTCCGGAAAAAGTTACTGCTAGTGTGATCATTGCACTTGTCTTGTAGGTTAAAGATGGTGTTATTTCAAGTTCTGTGCAGCTTGTTGAACAGCTAGAAAAAGAACTACGTTCATGTGAGGGTTTAGAAGAAAATTCACTCAATATGAACATCTATAGTCATGAAAATGAAAGTTTGCAGGAGCAAAGAGACGGGAGAAATGCAGCGTTCATGTTCTTTCTTCTGCTGATCAACATTCTCTTAAAAATGCCAACAAATATTGAGAAAGCAAAGCGCGAACTAACAACAATTTGGCGTCAAGTTAGCGGCGGCAATGAACAGGAGGAAAAGATTATTCGAGAATTTGAGACAGACTATGAATCAAAGCCATCTGTTTGGTGGTATTCAAAATATTACTTTTTGTACAGTACACTGAACAAAGCACTGAGAGAACACAACATCGATATGATATTTGCAATGAGATTTTTTCTCGTTGATTTACTACGGCAACTACAAGGTCTACACGGAAACTCCCATCATAACTCTACAAATGAACAAATCCATTTCGTCTACAGAGGCCAAAGTATGTCGCCGAAAGAACTTAATGTGATTCGAGCAAGTCAAGGTAAACTGGTCACATTTAATAGTTTTGTCTCTGCTACAGCCAATCTAAAAGTAGCAAGTGCATTTGCTGCCTCTTGTGATCCCGTATTGCCTCACGTTCTCTTGGAATTTAAAATTGATACGTCTCTCTCGGGGACAAAATCATACGCAAATATTTCAGCCTACAGTAATCATCCAGATGAAGAAGAAGTATTGATCATGCTAGGATTAATCTTTCGCATTGACAAAGTGGAGTACGCCGAAGATGAGAAACGGTGGGAAGTAAAATTATCTTTACGTAGCGAAAATGACTTTGAACTGAAAGACTTGGTTAAACAGATGAAAGATGAAGTTGGAGATCAAATTGTTTCACTTGGCTTTTTACTCTATAGACAAGGTGAATACGAAAAGGCAAAGCAATTTTTCGAACGACTTTTGGTTGAAGAAAAATATCTGAGTATTATTGATATAGCTCAGTGTTCTGTTGGACTTGGAGTAGTGACCTTAGAGATGAATCTATACGACGCAGCATTGAAGCATTTACGGATTGCACTTTCATTATGGGAGACACTTAGAGATAATGTGGAGATCAAGGGAGTTAGAGAGGCAATAGCAGGAGCCTACTATGCAATCGGCCTGGTTCAATTGCAGAAAAACGAACCTGAACTTGCTCTTTCAATGCAAAAAATGGCGCTTGACATTTATTTCCCTTTAAATCATCCTCGACTATCGAACGTGTATCAAGCAATTGCCAGTATCTACTTCAACAAAAATAAGTTTACTAAGGCGATTCATTACTATAAAAAATCAATTGAAGTCAACCGTAAAAATAATCTCCCTGGTAATCATTCTAATTTTGGAAATAATTACATGAATATGGGAAAAGCATATGCAATGATTTACAAGATCAATCAAGCCTATACGTGTTTGACAAAAGCAGATAACATTTTCATAAAGTCATTACCGCCGAAGCACCCAAGTATTTTAAAGGCAAAAGGGAGTATGGCAGCCATGCGAGAGATGTTAACACTCCTCGAAGACTATAACCTTACTGAAGACCATTTGCCAATCCTTATTGATCACATGCAAATTTTCTTGCCAGAACTCATACAGCCGCTAACATCATACCTTAACTTTTAAGTATCGAATCGTGGCACTTGTAGGTCTCTGCCTACACCATCTCTCCAATATTTGAGGGCAATCCTGACCCAATGTCATCGCAGGAAATCGGATCTGATAACGTGAGTTCTCTTGGTTAATAAAAAAAATTTTGTAAAGATAACCTTCGAGCATTCTAAACAAGACAATTTTTTTTCCGCAGTGATTTTAACTTAACTGTTCTTGCTCGTTTTTTCTAGCCAGACAATTCAGTTCTACATCCAAGCGCATTACTTAAATACATAAATGGTGACATTACCAATCCTTTTAAGCAGCCATAAAGTTCCACTTTCATATTCCTATAGCCTACTTCTCATAATTTGCATATTTCGTCTGCGAAAGCTACGCTCGACATCTTCTAGAAACTTCTCGGTAAAGTTAAAGAGAGGAAAGATGAATTTCCTTGAATAAAACAGTAAATAATCAGGTATGAATTGTATTAGAAAGATTGGAAACGTCAAACATTGGACAGAAGATAATCTTTCCGTTTAAAATTTTGACTGTCGGTTCATGCGTCTGGAAAATGTCATCGGCTCTGGTTAATTAACCGCTTCTCTTGTTGCTCCTCCCACTCCCTCCCTTGTTCTCACTTTTGCTCGGTTCAGTAAAAGCTGGAACCGTGGTCATCACTATTATAAAGTGGATTTGCACGGCTTAATTTCCTAAACAGATTGTCAATTAGCTTACCACTTATAATTGAGGCATTGCTGCTTAATAGCTATTACGGTATGCGGCAGCATCAAATATTGGAATTGTGCTTGTAACACTACAATGGTACGATCTTGCAACTGTAATTTTTCATCGAATGCTTGCTGTTGTAGTTCCATGCTCGCTTCTGACGAATGAAGTTGACTTTCTAAGCATGAAGCTGATGTATATTGATTCATATCACATCGAGAATAACTCGTCAGACATTTTTGGCAACTTAACTCTATCGATCCACACTGACTCTCATGCTGTGCTAGATCTTTAACTAAAGTCGGCTTTTGATAACCTCTGCATTTTTGCACTTGGTATTGACACTGGAACTCGTGTTTTTCAACTTCATCATAGCCAACAACTGCTGTACAGCCGGCTTCAAGATTTTTACATTTTATATTTAATTTCTATAATAAAATGTTCATCATTGGTGGACAACGTTTTTCTTCGTATGGACAGTTGAACGGACAAACCTTTCGTGTCAGTAAAGATTGTTGGTTGCATGCTTTGGCAAAACGAATTTTCGTACATCTTATACAAAACCGGATTCCATATAATATTTCGACAACTCGAATAAAGAACAACGTCATCGAAATTTTCTTGACTCTTTCTGTTGATATTCCACTTTCTTGATCAGCATTACTCATTTTTATAGACGATAGAGTAGATATTAAGAAATGTGAAATTTTTCTATTGAGCAGGCAGTGTACAGAATTTTTACGAAAATATGAAAAAAGTAACGCAGAAGAGAAAAATATTAAGGAAGTATGTCTCATATAGGACATGCACACATCCTTCGCCAAAATATCAATTAGTTTTCTTGCCGGTTTTTTACTGCCGTTTTCCTCGGCAATAACGTAGCCGTAAGCGCACTCGAGAATGATTGCTGCGAATCGCATGTCTTAAAATGCTGTGCGAACCTAAACCGCGCATTATAAGTTAGTAATAAACTTGGTAATTACCTGTTATAAATCAAAACAAATATGTCATTTGTGTCTGGACTTTTCCAAAAAAAACTAGAACCGTTAGGAAAGTTATGTAATATACTTCTGTACATACAAGAGAATGACGGGTTTTAGGCTGTATCGGATATTTTGTCTGTTAATTGTAATGCTGAAAAGTAGATCCACACGATAACATGAGCTCGCTGTGTTTTTCAGTCAAACAAGATGAATTAATTATTTACGAGTCATCAATTAATTAAAGGGGTTAATCGTTTCACGCCAAGCCGTTTTTTCATCCTTAGCAACAGTAAGTGATAGAATTAATATAGAAATATAGCGAATTTCAATTGTGAGACCCATTGTATATCTCTGTTTACTTTGCTATTCAAGAATAATTACAAGTGTGCTTCATAAGAAAACGGCGACTTCTATTTCTTATGCAAAAGGTGATAATTAATTAATTTCGCTTTTATTTCATCTTCATCATTCTCCCCTTATTCTGATTGCTCCGCTCATGTCAATAGATATGTAGGATTCGAGTTACTTTTTTTAGCTCTAAAAATGCTAGAATTTGTAGTGCGTGTGTCTCTAAAATTCTAGAAAAGCTGAAAATTTTATAAATATCTGATTCGTATCGCTTTCGCAAATCTCATGTAGTGTGATCGCCGTCTAGTTAATGTGTTTGCAAATAAAATAGTATTCGATTATTTTATGAGTTGAGAACTGTAGAAAGTTGTAATAGAGGCTTAAATAACATCAACAAACGGTTGTGTAAAATGTTTGTCAGGTTGTGTAAATGCAGCCAATAGTTTGTGCATATTACTTTTGTGGCTGCCGAAAAGAAAAGAGGAAAAAAGACTGCTCTATTTTCCTTCTTTCTTTTTTCCTGTTGTCGTCTTTGCAAAAAGCGAAAAAAGAAAAACAGCTGTCTCTAGGCACATTTCTCTTCTTCTTACCTTCGTTAATGTATCCATAAAAAATCAAAGATGGCAAGGACGCATGTGCATCGCGCAGATCGTGAGAGCTGATGTCTTTCTGATGAATTTGTGCTAGTTAGTAATCGTTAATTGCCTTTTTTAAATAAAAATAAAAAAGCAATTATAGAAGCTGTCATTAACGGCCATCAGATGCCTATCTTCCTTTTATGAAACATAAGATGCACCCAGGGCAGCCTTGCAGTGAAATTTATTTTTCGACACTTCATACACCATTCGATAGAGAATTTCGCGGTGATCACGAATATCACTTCCAAGGCTCTCAGAACCCTTTCCTCACTGA